AAAATTCTAATTATTCAACCCTAAGGGCCGTTTACATACGACTTTCCTCGGTTTGCTTGACAGTTCGAACTTTGACAACAAAGCATGAAGTAGAAGGCTTCTGCGTTCTCCCTTTCGTCTATATTTTATCTGTGTAAAATTCTTATTTAGATTATTTTTGTCTATAAAAGCAAATGCAAGCCCCCGAGAAAAGATACATGTGAACAGGTGATTGCCGCATCCCCGCATTCTATTTAGCAAGACTCATATAAAATCATGTGTTGAACTTATCTGTCAAAGCGGAACTCTGAAGCAAAGTGAAGCAAAAGTCATATGTAAACAGCCCTTTATTGCCAATTCCATGTGAATAAATCATTCCCATAGCGTAACAGGCAAAACAAAAACAAATTAGGAGCAATTGTTTTTGTTTTTCTTTATAATTTTTTGGAATATTTGTTCAATTGGAACTCGCGATAAGGCCGATTAAATATGTATTGTAATTTATGTTTTAGTATATTTTTTAATTAATTTTATAATATGATTTAATTTTTTATTTACTACAGCGATAAGGCCGAACAAATATGTATTTTAATTTATGTTTTAGTATATTTTTTAATTAATTTTATCATATGATTTAATTTTTTATTTAATATACAGAGTCCAAATGCAAAGGTGACTCGACACTTCTTAATTACATATTTTGATTTATGTTATCTGTAATTTATGTATGTATATCTACTTTTTATGTTTTGGATTTAATCATTATTTTTTATGTTTAATATAATTTATTGTAAATTTATCAAATTTGTTTAATTTATTCGTTACGAGTTTATTCTACATGCATAACACTGTGCGTATCCGAAACCAGCCCGGGCTTTGTTTAGATTTTCTGAAAGTATACCCATCCAGTAGTAAAACTCTCGATGGATTTGCAAAAGTTAGCTCGTATTTTTATTTTATGGCCGGCATACTAAAATTTTCATCTCTCGGCCTAAGTAGTTTTCATAAAAGTCGAAAAAATGGTGGAATAACGCCAAACTCAATTTTAAATTTTTTTTTTTAAAAACTAAGTTCTTCTTATTGATTTTTTATTTGCAATTTTTAGAGACTTTTATGTTGGTGGCATGAAGCTTTTGCCTCGTTGAAATCTTAAATCCTTATCTCATACATACACTTTGCTTTCAGCTTTCCGAAATGGTGAATCTTCACTTTCTTAGCCTACTCGAGGCGCTCAAAGAAACAAACTCTACCATATTAGGCAAACTTTTGCCACTTTGGAGTCCAGTCTTGTCCTCGCAAACCCAGGTACTAAAGCCGTTCAACCTTAAATGTCAATATTTGCTTTCACGCTTCTGCCTTTCTCCTTTAGCTATCCGACACTCTACACGTACGCCTACAAAACGTACGCGATTATGCACCAAACTACGAGGAACAACAGACTCATCCCTCGGATGCATTACTAAAATGGCTGCAGCGACTACAATTCAAAATGGGTCAGATCGAACTACAAGCATCCACAGCCACACAATTTTATTCAATTTAAGATATAATATGCATGTACGAATAATTTATGATTTATTAGAAATTTTACAAATTTGTGTACTTTACCGTGGGACGAAAGCACAGCTTTCAACAAAATAAGTATTTACGTGTATAAACACCACCTTTTAAGCTTGAATGTTATACAAATGTCTCAAGAACTCTACATATGTAGGTGTGTGGTTAATTGTTCAACCATGTCGTTAATAGTAAGAAGTTCGACTAATAAATTAACATCCAAATAATCAGAATAAATCTATTATTTTAAATTTGAGGTAATCAATCGAAGACGGTATAGCTAACGCCACCCGCAGCCTTTTCCTCGCCTAGCGGGTCATGCACCTCTTCATCTTCATTAAACTTCTGCTCGCCCTCGATATCTAATGCCGGTGAGCGATATGTATTGAAAGACACTTTTGCTTTCAGCTCTTCTTCTATTGGCAGTTTCAGACTACGTTGCTCCAATCGTGCGAAACGTGCAGCCAACCTGTCCTCTGCTTGTTTTTCTTGCAATTCCTAAATATATTGGCAAATATTTTCATACATTCTACGCAGCTAATAGTATACACACAGGAAAACGTAAATTCGCACTCACTTTCATCCTGGCTAAATAACTCGCTTGCAAGTCAACCGAATCAAGCAATGTCAACATTTTTGTAGCGCCATGCTGTATAAGTGGCGGTGTTGCAGCAGTAACTTCCCAATGTTTGCCCTTATTGCGCGTGCGTTCCTTAGCGGGGTCGTGCACATTAGACACTGTTGTTTTGTAAGGTTTGAATTTTTCACGTTGTGGTGCTACGTCTAACTCGGTTTTAGTAACCAAGTAACGCACGTGCTGTTCGACCTCTTGTATGGCAGGTGTACTACAGCGACTGTCGCCACTTACTGAGCTTGCTTTTGATGATGGAGATTTTTCTATTACATGCAGTATTTTAGGCTTTATAGAATTGAGTTTTTCGCTAATATCAATTTCAAAAACTTCTACGTCTACCACGTTGTTTGACTCCTCAGTGCTTTCCTTTTCTCTTATATCCATCGCAGCGACTAAATCAGTACCAGTCATCGTTGGAAATGATTTTTCAGACCCTGCCTTAAAATATTTGATCTCAGCTAAGTCAGCTTCCGTTATTAGCTTCGGTTCGGGTGGTAACAATTTGGTGCGCCGCGCATGCATTGTACGCTGTGCTATCACCCGCAAGGGATCTAGTTCGGCTTCATCATCACTATCTAGCACATCTACTGTTGGGTCCATGCCATTATCTACATTGAGGCGACCGTTCCACTCTAGGCGATTAAGCACATCTTGACCTCTAGAAGCTATATTCAATTCAGAGAACATATTAGCCGCTTCATCGATATTACTACGTCGATCTAGTTCTGCATTCACCCTATCGTGGAAATCTTTTATACGTTTCCCTTTATCCGGAAGCAGATTTAAGTTGACTCTAAAAAATTCAAGTCAATAGCATTACATACAAATATAGAGTTGTAGTAAACTTACTTATTGGCCAGTAGCTTGCTTTGGCGTTCCTTTAGGTCCAACAATTCCAAACGAGAAAGTTTTGTTAAATCTTTCACTGCATTATCTTGTTTTATAGTTGGCGCTTTTGCTGGTATTCTGTTCAAGGTTGGACGGGGAAGTGTAGCCATTGAGGAATGCAGTTATTTTTCACTCCAAAATAAAAAC